CATCGCTCTATCCGGACACTTGGTCCGATGGGTTGTGCGCCACCAGCAACGCAGCCGTGGCGGAAGATAACGGAAGCATACCCGACTCGTTTTACACCAACGGCGGCCTGAAGCTGAGGGTTGTCTGGACGATCAGCTCGTTGATCGCCGCCTCCGCCAGGCACTACCTGCTTCAGCCCATCATTTCCGAGCACAATACGCTAGACAGCTTGGTTCTGACGGATGCCGACGGGCAGGGGGTGTTGCACATGAACAGGGACCAGCTCGAGGAGCTGCGGGTGAAGCCATTGTCGGCCTCCTTGGCCTCGAAGAGGACGCTCGTGCCGGCCCTGAACATGCGGCTCTGGTATGCGCCCCAGCTGGAATTGCCTGATGGGGTTGTGCTAAAGGGTGCGACTTTGGTTGCTATAAGGCCCAGCGAGCAATCTCTGACCGCCAAGAAGGAGGTTTCCTCTGATATGTCCTGGGTTTCGACCGCCTTCGAAGAGCCGTACGGGACGGCGGCCAAGATGCTGGTCAAGAGGCGCACTTACTCTCTTGAGATGAACTCCTTCTGAATCGATTTCGAGTGTCTCAGGTACATTTGCTGTTAATGCATTCGTGTACCTATGATTCGGATTGAATTGGATGGTTGCTTGGGTTTTAATGCCTTTCGGCTGCAATTCAATGACTAATTGACTTTAAACGTTGGGAAATATTTCTTGTACATTAGAACCAGAAGTCATTCATTTCGTTCTTGTTCTTACTGGCAATCCAAAGTTCCAAAATTTAATGGCATTACAGGTAATTAAGGTGATCTGCGTGTTCCTCAGAATCCAAAGTTCCAAGATTGTATTGGATTGCCAAGAATATGATCTATAAAGTAGCTTAAAAGTATGTCATTTGATAAATAAGCGAACGAGAGTTTGGATGAACAATCAAATGCATATTGTTAGGTAGCGATATGGTACTAGTATGTTTTGGGATTTCTGATTCCGCTTTTGGTTGTGGTTTGGTACTGATCTAGTTCAACTTGGGATTTTATCAGGGAAAACAGTGTCCTTCGGGGGAAAATGGGGGAGCAGCATTAAGTTGAAAGTGGAGAAGGGGAGAACAATTTTGCCTCATCGGAAGACTAAGTTAACCGCGGTGCCTCTCAATTGTGCAACGAATCTGGATTGGAACGACGCAGAAAGAAGAGATACTCCGTTGGAACACGCACTGCAGATCCTCCACTCTTGTATGCTTGAGCCGAGAGTTGAAAATGCTTCATCTGCTGGATGCTTTGCAAGAGTGAGTGCTCACATGCAACTGAGATTGATGTTCTAAAGATTTTGGGACTGCAGTGATCAAGTTTTACCTTTCTTTCTTCCAAATGTATGTGAATATTGTAGGTATCATGACACTCTCTAGTTATGTGATGTATGTCAAAAGTTCATTTCCGCAGCAACTTCCATTCAAAGTTTCCATCCTTACAGTAACAGAAACGTACTTGGTTCACATGACTGTCGTTTAAGGATCGGTAGCAGGAAGTTCCGAATGATCCAACGATTGAATGTTTGTGAGATAACTTCAATGGAGATTATGAAGTAATTGTTCCCTTTTCTTCTCCCATTTTAGGCTAGGATCCGTTTTACCCGTGCGGACTGATCTCGGTCATTCATGTTTGTGAGACCCGCAAAGTAGGATGAGGGCAGACTGATCTCGGTCATTCATGTTTGTGAGACCCGCAAAGTAGGATGAGTTCTGAGCGGTTGATCCTGCTTCTGGGTCTCACAAGAATTTGCTTCGGCGAGGAGAGGAAACTTGTTTTTTCATCACAAAAATTATTTTTGCCATTTATGCTAGGGAATTTGGACAAAAAGTTTTTGGTACTGTTCATTTTTACACTAAAAAATCAATTATTGTATTATTCACTTTATCTTTTATTTTGTTTTTATCGTTAAAATTTAAAGTTTTCAAGTTTTTTTTATAAATTTTCTTTTTATGCAATCACGAAAGCTTAATTTATAGAAAAATAATTACAAATTAATTTTGGAATAAAACATCACTTTTGTGGCTCCAAAATAAAGAGGGAATTATTTATTCTCTTGATCCGTTAACAAATGCTTTGTCTCCCGATAGATAAACAGGTGGTTTAAAAAATAATTATACAAAAAATATTCTGCTCAAGTGGGTTGAATTTTGTGCGATTAGATTAGGCGCTAAATAAAGCATGAAAAAAAAATGCCTATTTGTGGTCCTCGTTAACCATTTTTTGGACCCATCTCATATAAAACAAAGGTCCAAATCTTTCTCCTTTGAACGATTTGAATTTCTTGTTGTTTGGCTTTGAACAATAAGATCTAGAAATTTCTCTGCATATATCTTAAATCGGAAAAATTAGGGCAACATTCCTCAACCACGTTTATTTATTTTAATTTTCATTATTTTCCTTTGAAAGAAAGATGAATTTTGGGTGGAGAATGATTAGTTACTTAATTCAATTCAATTTAATTTTGATATCCGAGCTAGTTGTCCTCCCACCTTTATCTGTTTATTATCATGTGAGATTTCTTTGCTTTGTACACCCACAAATTCACAATCCACGTGAACTAAAACCTGCACTCCAAACAACCCTATTCACTTAGGGCCATGATGTACATCTTTCATTTCTATTTCTCTTCTACGTTATTCATTACTATTATTTTATTTCAACATTGCGGCCACACCATTGCATAACATCGTTAATCATAAGTTATATAACGGGTGAATGATATAGATGATATGTAATGAACTTATTAATGCATTATAACATGAGTAGTTAGTAATACCACATGACAGTTTGACGCTTACTAAAATACTTTTCATCCGAAATTTTTTTAATGGTTACGCTTTCGCACATTGTTACTAATAATACCGTTGTTGTAACAAGTGTGCTTTGGAAAATAAAAATATGAAGCCCAATAATCAATTTCTCTAATTGAACAAGTGCACATGTTCCGGTTGATGCTAATATGTGCTTTAATATGTGCAAAAGCAAAACTTACTTTCATTGGATGCTCTCAAACGAATGAAACTACTTTCAACAAGCTTTCTGAAAAGTGCTTAAGAAGTGTAGCATTTCGACACATGCGGCTTTTGTTTTTCTGAAAAAAGTACTTTCAACTAATAACTCTACTTCTTTGGGCTTAATTCATGTAACCATATGTTGGGCCTGGTTCATAGTTTCATCATTTTAGGGCGCATCGATCGTGACATGCAATTTACGTGCATAGTAAATGACACGTCTCGATCTCAGTGTCTGCAGGACATTGGAATGGGCGTGTGTTGGCTGACACTTGAGAGGGAGGGGGGATTTTTTTTTTGGGGGGGGGGGGGGGTGGGGAGCAGGGGGAAGTTGGGGGTGGGTGGGGTGGGGTTGTGACACAAGCTAGCTTATCATGTGTATGCTCTGAACATGTCTGAGAGGGAGGGGGGGTGACGCAAGCTAGCTTATCATGCGTATGCTCTGAACATGTTCATGCATTCTCATGTTCTTATATTCTTATCATAAGCACGATAGGATGACTTGCGTCACCCCCGAGTGTCAGGGGGTGGGTGGGGGGGGGGGTTGTGACGCAAGCTAGCTTATCATGCGTATGCTCTGAACATGAGAATGCATGAACATGTTCTCATATTCTTATCATAAGCACGGTAGGATGACTTGTGTCACCCCTCGAGTGTCCCGATATCCGCGGGGTACTAGAATCAAAGCGTGTCTAAATAATACATGCTAATAGAAAAAACTATTAATAAATAGATAGACGTACTATAGCAAGAGTAAGATTGATAACACGAATCCCACGGATTTCTGGAGTTTAGAAGATCATCAACCTCCTTAATTAAGGGTTTGAGTTTGTTTATTGCGATTCTAGTTCTTATTTTAGTTTCAGTTGCCTCCAAAACTTGGTGAGGCATCTGCTACAAACTAAAAATGCATTTCGACATCCTAAGTTGAAAAATGAAAAAAATGCCCTATCTAGAATATAATCCAATATATGGATGTATCAACTAATAACAATAATTTTTCACTTAAAAGATGTAAGCGAGGCTAGCTAGTCAAGAAAATATGTCCGTCACACAAGGGTCCACTTACTTACTGTTGCTTAAGCCTTATTACTTTTGGGCCTACTTCGTACACCTAAGGAACTTTTGGGACTAAGTAACAGACTTAAGGGAGGCCTGCTCTCAATTGAATTCCAACATCAAACTTTATTGGGAAAATTTGTGTTTCAATTTCAAACCAGTAATATCGCTAAACAAACTTAAAGATGAATGTCATATCTACTAGAGTTAGATCATCTCTTGATCTCAAATTCAGGAGATGACAAATTGAGCAATACAGACCATTCAATTTAAATCATGCAGCTTCTATTAGCTCACTAGAACCCCCCAAACACACAACACTACACCCTCATCTCTCTCTCCCTCATACATCTCTCTTAAATTGTCCAGACAACTAAGTCTATCAGCGCCGAAGTTTGAGAACTAGAGATAATCTCAATTCCACTACTTGCTCTAATTTTCAAGTTACATTATTTCACATTTGATATGCATATAAATCATATGCGTACAAGTTGGGTGGAAATGAGAGGTCAAAATAAAATATTTCAGCCCTCAACGTAGTTGACTAGCAAAGATTTTCTTTTTAAAAGACGAAATATGTATGCGTGTCTATATATATAAAACATATAATGTAAAGCTTAAACTAGTCAAATGATGAGGATTTGACTGCCCTGTGAAAAGGCGAGCACACTTCCTTAGTCAACTAACTAGCCTAACTTAACATTAAAGATTTGACGATTACCAAAACATATAATGTAAAAAGCCTGAACTAGTCAAATGAAAGGAGGATTTGACTGGCCTGAGAAAAAGCGAGCACACTTCCTTGAGAAAAAGCGAGCACACTTCCTTAGTCAACTAACTAGCCTAACACAACATAAAAGATTTGAAGATTGTCAACTTAGCATGCATGTTTCAATAACCAAATACAGTGAAGATGACTTGCAGAGCAAGAAAAAGAGAAAAAGAATATATAACTTCAATCGAATTGTCAGTTACATCTTCTTCAACACAGACAATGCTATTGCTATTGCGCACACAGAGACGGATAAATATATATATATATATATCCGAAAATATAGAAGTGGAAAATGGTTAAAAGCAGGAATAGCAACAATTTCAGAAGGATAAAAATATTAGCTATCATCCGATGCAGAAAACTACATGCTATTCCCCCCACAGCTTTCCACCACTACTTGTTTAGCTTCAGTTTCCTGCATTAAACATTATCACTGCAATTACCATGCATGAATTAAAAAATCCAACTTTGAAATAAGACAAAGCCTGCAATAAACTCAAGGGAAAATGCCACTTTGTAATAAACTCAAAGTTCACATCTCGACCGCACTTTTAAAGGCAGACTATGAAGCAATAGAAACACTACCTAGGATTGATCACTGCTGAAATGGACTAGGGTTTGAAATACTACAAGGATAATTCGATCCGACTAAGAAATTCTAGAAACCATGAGGCTTAATTTTATCCGACTAAGAAGTTACTCAACTAGCAACATCAGTACAAGTATTAAAGCAAGGAATGCAGGAAAGATGAAGAAGAAGACGACACGTTCATATCTTTCTTCCAACGGCTATCTTACGAGGCTTCGACGACGCTACTGTGAGAGGTTTTGTTTCCTGGGAAATACCATTGTCATTTATGTTCTTATGTTTATTGGTGGTTTTGTGGTTTGAGGTTTAAGGTGTGTGGTATGTGTTGCTAACAAAGATACAAAGATAAATGTTATCCAGAACAGGAATTCTTGGAATATATACAAGAACATCTACGGACTTCGAAAATATTCCTTTGACTAAGCATGCATCTCATGAAATTCTGTTCTGTTTCAGCAAAACGTAGAACGAGACGGAGAAAATCTTAAAACAAGAATTTGCAACACTAACCAATACAGAACAAAACAAAACAGAGAAAAAAAAAACAAATTTGATTACGTGAAGCTTACTTGTTATTGCATTAGTTTTGCTATTAATGGCAGTTATTTGATTCTGTCACCACATTTGTCAAATGGATAGCGCCATCCACGTACCTATTTTTACTTCTCACATACTCCTCTCAATTTTCGACCGTCGGATTGAATGGATTGAAGATTAATTGTCAAAAAGGATGTGTGAGGTTAAAATGAGTGTGTGAATAGCACTTTCTTTGTCAAATAATCCCTTGGAAAGTAAACATATTAGTAAGAAATATTTCAAAATAATCAACTACCCTTGCTTAATAGTATTTTAAAAGATTTTAAGTTGGAATCAACCAAACAAAAAACTATATATTAACAAGAATGAATGTTAATTTTGTATCCATGTCTCCCATCCCCAAATGACCCACTTTAACACAGATTTATGGGAAATGTTTGATTGAATAATTTTTATTTCAAAAGAAGAAAAAGTATATTGTTACTCAAAAATATATGTATGGCAATAGAGGAGCTTCAACTATATTGAAGTTGAAGTTGTGGTGGTGTAGCTCAATGCAAGCCAGGGATGAGCAACTGAGGTCTCACATCGGAGAAATATCTCAACAACCTATAAATTAAGAGTTTATGTTCCACTAAGATTAAAAACTAAGGTCTTGTATGATAAAATCTCACAGCTAAAAAGGTATACACTTTTGAGCTGGAAACAAACTACAACAGACGTACCAACTATTAATTCATGTTTAACTCTTATGCAATCACTAAAGAAAGAGAGTAGAGAAGAGAGTCGAGGAGGAAATGAGTGAGAACTAATAAAACTAAACGAAACAAAAACCTATTCAAAACATATTTTAGTTCGAAATTTATAAATATTTTGCTCCTTTCCCTTAACCTCTATCATATTTCTTCTCCATGTCAATCCACCATGTTTTTAGTAATTTTTTTTTAAGGGGGACAACTAGTGGCAAGCCACAGTTATCCACCTATTCCAGGGGTTGGGAAGACTCACAAAGGCATTTTAGCCTCCCCCGGCCACAAGGCTCGCTTCCACACTAGTAGCGGGTTTCGAACCCGAGACCTCCATTTTTTAGTTATAAGGAAGCCTCGTAATCCACCATTTACCACTGAGCCACCAGCTCGTGGTTCCTTGTTTTTAGTAATTGAGTACAGTAAAATTAAAGCATAAAAATAGGACTGGAAACGGATAAAATGAGTGTCAAAAACCGCTACAAAGTTTGTACAATTAGGATTTTTTTTTTTTTTTTTTTTCACATATACATGTACTCTAATGTTTCAACATTTGAGAGAAAACAGATCGAAGCAACTTAATTTATTAATGCAAATGCCTGCCTACGGGCCTGGGATCCCTTAACCAAAAAGTTAGCTAGTTAGGGCTCATGCTAATTGCTAAAATGCTAAGCAAACAAAGTTGAAAGTTAGCTCTCCAATATTATTCACCATGCTAATTAATTCGCAAAAACAACTCCATGCAAATTATATACAAGTAAAGGCCGACAGTCCGCCGAGCAGTGTGGCGCAGCACGGAAGGGCAGAAAAGAACAATTAAACAATCCTAAAGCTAACCAGAAAAGCAAAAGCCTCCTCCGAGTGACAAACCACATGGACTGAGCCAGGTGAATGCCAACACCTGTCAGCCATCCATGGACGACCTCATATGCTAAGAGAGAAGGAAACCAAAACAAGAGAACAAACGAGGAGACAACCAGCCGATCCCCCCATTCACTCCAATCCATGCAGGATTCAAAAGCAGACAGAAAACATTGCAATTAAAAACATATATCTCCATCAAACCTTTGGCCCAATGCCTTACTTGTTTATGATTACCAAGAAAAGCAAGCAAACCCTACTTCTGTGCGAAATTAACAATTATATATGTAGATATACACACACATATGTATAAGCTAGGTTTTCAGCTAGGCTAGTTACTCATATGTGAGGCAAAAAAAAGCACAGAAATAGAGAAGCAACCAACCAATGCAAAAGTAAGAAGCATAAAATGTATATTATATTTGGAGGGAAAAAACAAAAGAAAAAGAAAATCAGATTGGTGAAGGTTTACCAGAAAAAAGCTTTGATAGGTTGACTGATCGTTCAGACAAATCAGTTCTTTGCTTTGCCCTTGTGGTCTGAATGCCGTGTTCCGTCGCCGTAGAGTTGCTGCAAGCCGCGATCAAATCCACCTGGGAATTGCTGGTGGTGCTGCTGATGGTGGTGGTGGTGGTGGTGGTGATTCTCCATGGTTGGCGCGGCTGCGGCCGCAGCAGCTCCGATGAAGAAGGGTACATTGGTCGATCCGTCTATGGGAGAAAACCTCTGAAGGTGATGAGGCATAAGAGACGGTGAAGAGGAAGAATTGGACTGAAGGGTCCCCCTATTGAAACCAGCAAGGCCGCCGGAAGAAGAGATCGAAAAGTTCAGGTTGTAGTCACCGCCATTGCCCGGTTCCGTCGAGGTCGTGACCGGGATGAGGTCGGGAACAAACGAGAAGTGCTGAAGCTCCGAACTGTGATGTCCGTGATGATGTTCCCCGGACACATTGAACGGGGAGACAAGCGACATTGTCTGCGGAATAGAGTTCATCCCCAAATGGATTTGTCTGGAGAATCCGGCCGAGTGATGAGTCCGGGCCGAGGAGGACAACCCGAGAAGCCCGGGACTGAAGTAATCCATTGGTGCTGGTGCCTTGTGGAACAAAATGGGCTCACCGCCGCCATGATTCTGCTGATGATGATGAGCAGATGCGGTCGGAGAATCGTTGTTGTTGTGAGCAGTGCCGATGCCCGCGGTGAGAAGTTCAGTGAAAGAAGCATTTTGTTGGGAAATGTTGTTGTTTATGTTGTGCTGGCAAGCTGACTCAATGCTTTCTTTACTTTCTTTATCCTTGTCCTTGGCGGCTCTTTCTCTTGCCCGCTCCCGGGCCTTGGACCGGTTCACCCGAACCTCCGAGCGCGAAAGGGACAGCCCGGATCCCTTGCTGGTCTCGGAAGTACTGGAGCAAGCGGATTTCGACAAGGAAAGGTGCTGACTTTGGTTCCCAGTCTGGTTCTGATTCTGGTTGTAGTTCTGATCGAACTCAATCTCTGCCGAATCAAACCCTCCACGCTCGCAGCTCGCCCTCTTCTCGTAGCTGAGCTGCTTAGGCGTGTCGGGGAACGAAGAATTGTTCAGAGAAGGTAGCTCAGCGATGGCATCGGCGGCGGCTTTGATCAGCCACTCAATTGCTTTGCTGGGCTGGTCGTAATTTAACCGATCTTGGAGATCGTAGAACTGAATGGCGGTGGTTACAGACAACCGGACCCTCCGGTCTCTCAACCCTTTTGAAGTCCAGACTTTGCTGTGCCGATCTTTGCCGCCGGAGGCTCTGGAAACGCGGATGATGCGGGAGTGGTGCCAACCGCGGAGACGGTTGCCCGCATCGGGTGCGGCTGTGGCGGCGGCGTCCCTCTTGAGTTCTAGGCATGATGGGTCTTCATTGTCGTCGTCTTCGGGTGATGGCTTGTGATCTCTGCTGCTGCCGTTTCCGATTCTTGGGAACTTGTTGCTGGCTTGTATCTCCTCCACCTCCATAGCAGTAGTTTCATGCCTTTCTCAAACAAAGACTCATTCAATTTTGGGACTTTCTTTTCTCTTGCTTTGGTTCGTTCTTATCCTTCTGCACCACTAGCTCTCTCTAGAGAAAGAAAGGGGTTGAATTTGGGGGACGGAGGGAGTGGTTTTAGAGAGAGAAAGAGGGGGAGGACTGGAGGAGGAGGAGGTGGGGTTGCAGTGTACTATGCATTGATGACGATAATTCAGAGAGGGTACTTTGGCTGTGTAGTACTAAAAGGCCTTTTTTACGGTGCTGATATATCACGGTCAAAGTCAGGCGAGAGACTCTCTCTCTCTCTCTCTCTCTCTCGAAAGCTTTTTGCAGTTCCTGCAGTGTGCTTTCAAAAGCAGCAAACCAAAGCCTGCACAGTTTTACCCTTCACAGTCTCTCAGCTCTGCCACAAAAAAAAAAAAAAAAAAACCAACAGTAAATTTTCATATTTCATTTCCATTTTTAATTCCATAAATGTAAAGAAAAAGTAAGAAAATTTACCCAAAATACATCACAATACAGAAGCAAGTAAAAGCAGTTGATCAGATGCCTAAATACACTACACATTTACACACAAAAAACCCAGCTTTCAGAGATCTCAAGCTAATAGAAACTAAATGCCTAAACCTAACAAAAGGGTTTTTAAAGAAGATGAGCTTTTCAATATAACCTAAGTTAGAAACCAAAAAAAGCAGAATTAATATGTAATCCCTTTTCTGCTTCAGATTCAAGCAGAAGCAGTAAATCTGAAACAATTTTATTTTTGTTGCCCTAAAAATGCGAGACGTATTCGTGCTCTCCTGTATATTAAGCTCAATAAAACACATTAAACAATAAATAAAATAAAATAAAAGAAAAGATAATTGGCAGCTCAAATAAAATATGAGAAATTTCAAACCTTGAACAGTGTTGTGGGTTTTGATTTAGTAGAGACAGGTGTCAAGGTATCACTGATTGTTGCAACTTAAACAAACGTACAGACAGCAGAAATGGAGCAGTGTGATTATGTCTGCAGATTCATAAGCAGTTTGAGATTTTGGCATCCAAAGCTCTCAGATCTGCGCATTCAAACTTGATGGGATCAGTTCCTTTGCTGCAAAAAACCCATCCAATCAGAACAAAATCTCTAAACTTTATCCTTCCCAATTTCTCCCCCACCTCCAAACTCAAAACCCCATATTAATGACAACCTAATTAACACTAATTACAATTAAAGATGCTAAATTTAAGCTAAATCAAGATTAGACTGATGAGATGACCTAAATTCCTCCCAAGATGCAAGAGTTACACTTCGCACACAAATCCAGACTGCCTGAAAAGTTCAGAAAATCACCATTAACTGAATAACCCAGAAACAAAAAGTAAGCAGATTTGAGCTTTATCCGCAGAAAGTTGAAATTTTGAGCGAGAAAAAGACTCACAGACGCTGCATATTTGTTTGTGAGCTGAGAACTCGAGATGGGTTGGGAGGCGGAAGCGAATTAGGGTTGCTGATGGAGGTGTTTGGCGGGTAAGAAAATAACCAGAGAAAATGTGGGAAATTGATGAAAAGTAGAGGGAGAGGTTTCAATACAGAAAAATGGAAACTGGGGTTTGAGAGGATTAAGTAGTAGTTGAACTAAACACTGGAAGAAGATGAGAGAGATGGAGGAGGAGAGAGAGAGTTGTTTGCATCTTCCCCATTTGAGCAAATCACCGGCCTTATCGGTTAAGGACAGCACACACCGCCGTTCTCTCCACTTTATAGATATACTCTTTCTCTCCCTTTTGCCCCTCTTCTCTTTCCTTTTTACCTCTATTGCCATTTATTTTCGTTTGTTAGTTTTATTATTATTTTTGTTTTTTTTTTTTTTTTTTGTCTAATCATAAATTCCAACAAGAAATAAAACTATAAAAATGAACGGTTAACATTATATTGTGTATTTTTCTTCATTTGAAGGAGTGAGGAGTTGGAACTACATAATTAAGATCAAATCTATTAATATGTTGTTGACAATCTATTGAATATTGTCAAACTTTTTAAAATATCGAAATATACATAACATGTAGCTAAAATTTTAAACTGACAGATATAACTCATGTATACATAGATGATAGTTGGCCAAACTCAGGGTAGACCCCACTATAACACCCACACTTATAAACGGATGGCAATCAACAAAACAACCGAACAAAGCAAAAGTTAACAAATGTCGTTCATGCACGAATTAATGATTGTTTATTGCAATTTAGTGCAAACCTCACTTATCAATGGTTGATTGTGGAAGGTGAGTAATTGTTCCTAGCAAAACTCTAATTTCAAATATTAGAATGCATGTAAACTTAAAATGTGTATTTTCTACGAGAAATGTATGCGTTTAATTCTAAAAATTGGATCACCATCACTAATTGATATATACATTTTTTCACCATCACTAATTGATATATAAAAACAAATATTTTATCATATTATTTTAGACCTATCAGCTCGACTCATGCCTCTTGTCTTTCAGACAAGGTCACAGTAGTTTTCCAAAGTTACCCTAATAAATAATTTCTGAGGTAATTGTTGCGTTACTGTCGCATCCTTTAAGATAATGAAATTCACATTTATTTGAATTTTCACGCATTTTCTTTTGAATATGAGAAAGAGTAGTATTATCCACACATCATTTTTACTTCTCATATGCCGCTCTCAATTTTCAGTAGTTGGATCGAATAAATTAAATAAAATCAATAGCAAAAAGTTAACAAGAGCGTGTAGCACTATCCTATGAGAAAATTACGTATCTTACATTTCTTTTCTTTTTTTACGGCCAATGCAAATATCTGTATATTTTCAAAATTATTAAATATCTATTTCTCACTTCTAACTTCTTTTTTTATCATTAAAAGCGGCATTACGACTCTAAATTACGTTTTAAACTTGAAAATGATTGAACTCAAGATACAATGAATTATAAGAAATGCCCTAAATATTTTATTTTATTTTTATATCAAACATGTATAATTATTTCAAGATAACATTATTCAACTAAAAAATTTCTTTCCCAAGTGAAATCCGACCTCTTTAGATCCCTTAATTAAATAAGCTATAAAATCGAGAGGCTTCTGAATCCTAAATTAGATACTACGAATATAAAATTATTTTTATATATATTAGTAGCTAGCTAGGTTGCTATTTGCTAATGTGTCATTTAATCAGAAACAAGTTAATTTGCCTCACTTATTTGCATCTTGATTGATTTCTTGGGTGTACTTGTGCAGTTAATTTCTCTGTGACCAGTTGGCTAGGCACAAACCCCTTTGCCAATTTAGCCCGTCGGTTTAATATCTTCAAGGCCATGAACTTGGGGCAGTTGCCTCCTGTCAACTTCTTGTACGATGAAAAATTGTTCTAACTAAAAATATAAATTACTTTTTCATACTTTATACTTTTTATGTTATCTCACTCTTTCTAAACACTAATTACCCAAATTTTAGAGTTTCAAACACCAATAGTTGGACAAAAGTTGGTAACATTTTATTGAATTTTCAATTCAATTTCATCATTCAAAGTTGCTCTCACTCAAAAATGTTTCTAGCTCCGTCCATGTTCAAGGCCCATTCCCAATTGGTCGGATTTTACGATAGGATTTCCAAGTTTCAAATTCTTTTCTAGTTTCCTACTGTTTTACGTTTTTAAGTTTCTTTTGTAACCTAAAATTATAGCTATAAATAGGATTTTAAAGGGTTTGTAAGAGAAAAGCGAGAATTACAACACAAACGCTTTCATTATTGTGGGTAGTGAGACAAGGGTTTTGTTGATTTGGTATTTTCTTGCAATTGGTTTGAATGCTTTGCTCATCCGTTAATTGATAACAAGATTTATAGATACGTTTGTACAAGAATTTAAAATATTTTTAAAATGTTATAGAGTTTTTCTCTGAAAAAAAATGTGATGGAGTTATGGGAGGCATATTTATGAAGAACCCATTAATTAATTAGTGTTCGAAATGGTAAGATTGTAATTAAAAGTTAAGCAGGAGGGTTAGTGCTAATTAGAATCCATCACAAAAAGAGAGCACCAACAATTTCTCCTCCAAAAATCAAGTACAAGAAATAAAATGCCTTTCCCGCCACCCAAATGTCGAGTTGAGAACTTACTCACCTTCCCAACTTAAATAAAGTGTCTTTTGGAGGTGATTTATATTTATTTAATTAATTAATTCAATTGAAGCAAGGATTTGAGGGGCATTTAAAAGTTTTAATTAATGGGATTAGACTTAATGGTCCGTGCGGTTCATGATGTGTCTCTTTCCTACCCATCCTTCTTATATAATTAAATATTTTTGTTTCTTTTCTTTAGATATTTTTATGTATATATAAAGTGTGGCAGCACTCAATGGGCTGTAACTATATGATCTCTTCGCTGGAAAACAATGTAGCAAAAGGAGAGATCGATTATTTTGATTTATTAGGCACCTATATTTATTTAATCAGAGGGATAAAAAGTTATGCATTAGTGAAAAGAAAAAGAAAAAAGAATTCTAATTTACTTATATAGCTTTTACTTTTGATGTAGGTACATATATATTTTTTGGTGTAACAATGGAATTGACGGAACTGGATCCTCTCTAGAATCCTAGATCCTTTTCATCCGGACCCTTAGAATTAAATAATCTCAACCGTTCCCGTAAAATCGTGCAGCTGAAATCACTTTTCTCTTCAACTTTCTCACTATTTCTCTTTGCTTTCTTGTCCAGCGATGATCAACAAAGCAAAACCATAAGAAAACGGGAGGGGTTGAAAGTCAGGAAAATATGCAGTGGGAATTGGGGTGGGAGGGGGAGGGAGGTGAGTGGTGATGGTAGGAAGGTCAAGGGATTGGGTGCAGCAACTTCAATCTCAACTACGATTCCGACGACATAGTCGTCTCCTCCGACATTCGTGCCTGGTGCCTCTCTTAACATTCTCGCTGTCAACACCATCGCGACATATCTCAAGGCGGAGGATTCCATGGCCATTGTTGCCATCACAACTTCTTTTCATTGAAGATTCAGAGGACTCGGATAGGAGGGACCTGGAGAGGATCCGCTTCCATAATTGATGACGCAAGTACTTATATACACTGTTCTAAAAATCCCCATTTAGACGGCTAACCACCATTTCGATTAATGCCTATACATTTGAAAATTAAGAAAATGATGCCTAGACCTACTGAGGCGCCCGCCTAGCCCTCCTAGACCCGCCTAGGTTGCGACTCACTTAGACAAAAAATAGATAAAATTTATTTTTTTTCAATAAATTGTAAGAAACATGTTGAATACTTAAATGAATTTTACATTATATGTTTGTTCCCCATGTTTTCATTATGTTCCAATACTTCATAATATATATGTCATTCTATATTATATATATTTTAAATATAAACAGCCACTTATTTACACGAAATATAATAAATTTACTTAAATCTGCCTATTCCGCCTAGACGCTAGGTTCTATCCCGCAGCCCGACTAGTATCTAACGTATTTTAGAACCCTTCTTATATATAACAATTATTTTTCATAATTGTGTTTGGTGAGACAAGCTTACAAATCCCATGTAGGTCTTTGGTCGAACAATTATTATACTTTGGAATGAAGTTGTGTTATTTTTACCAGAAGAGCATTATTCGTGTTCGATTATGTCTTTTTTTAGATTGTTATCATGTTCTAGTATGGTAATGTAAATATAACGTTTTCACTTGTAACAGCATTATATACTTCTTAAACATGGATATGTTTTCTAATAAATAGACAATAAAAATAACTGCGACGTTGATTAATCTAATTTTAAAACATTATAAACTTTGGCCATCTAGCAGCGTATGCCAAAATGGTTATAGATAAGGAGGTATTTTTTATTGTCAAGTTTGTTACAAATAAATCTTGTAGCTTTAGAAAAATTCAAAAGTTTTGTATTGCATACTGTCCTGCATGGCTTGAATATTGAGATTTGAAAACCCGAATACTTTGGAGAAAGTACAATATATGCCAAAATTCATGAATATTATATAATTTATATGTATATTCATACTTAGACTTCGACTTGTGGATTTATCTTGAAAGCTAAAGTCAAAAAGTGTCACGTCCTGTGGACTTTTTATAACTAATCCAATTAATAGCATAAAGGAATGGAATGGATTCGTAACACCGCTTATATTTCATAATATTTTACATAATTATTTGTAAGGCCTACTTAGTAATGTATTTCAAAATTCAAATCCTTTATTTTTTAGGTCTTTTCTTAAAGATCTATCCATCAAAAAACACCTAAATTTGAAACTATACAACCATTGGACTAAGGGTTTAGTGTTTCCTTGTAAAATAGTATGTCTTAATGGTTTTCGATTTGTCTAATTTTTTGTAAGGATGATCAATGAATAATGTTCCAAAAGATAGGCAGTTCAAATCGTTAAAACACATTACAGAGTGGTCCTTATAAAAACATGTGCTAAAAGTTGTCTAAAAATGATTGTGTCACAGATCTACCCCATTAATGAAATTATTATAAATGCCTATATATTGATTTTAATTGACAAGACATAGCACATTTCGGATTGGAAAGGAATGATAAGAAATAAGGAACTTTAATGAAAAACTCCCGGTACTTTTCATTTTAACAAAAAATCATATTTTTACACTAAAAAGTCAATCTTGGTACTATTTATTTTACCCTTTATTTTGTTCTAATCATTAAAACTCAAAGTTTTCAAGTTCTTT